AAGAAATAAAAATGGGAAGATTTAAATATTTTACATTCTAATAAAACATAAAATTCATCTGGATACGAGTCCAAGTTTACTTGCCATGTCTAATCACCAGGAACAACTATTTCCATTGCAGAGACAACCTTTCTTTAGAGGCTATGCCTCTGCACGAATATGTAAAACAGTTTAAAATGTCCACAGGTGACAATCCCAACACAATTAAAAATATAATATTTGTTTGTAGAAATGGGCTGGCAGAATTACATTTTAATAAAATATAAAATTCATCTGGATACGAGTCCAAGTTTACTTGCCATGTCTAATCACCAGGAACAACTATTTCCATTGCAGAGACAACCTTTCTTTAGAGGCTATGCCTCTGCACGAATATGTAAAACAGTTTAAAATGTCCACAGGTGACAATCCCAATCCCCACAGGTATTTTACATTCGTTTTTCTCACTTTTTTTCAAATTTTTTTAAAAATAATAATCTCTTAAAATGAAGTCTTAATTTGATAAATTACTTCTATCTATTAAAAAAAATCCTTTCAACAGTTATTTCCTTACAGGGACCTGCTGGAGCTGAAGTTTGTCTTTCCTGTCAATAAACTTCAATCAGAACTGCATTAGCAACATTTACACATTAGTAAAATGTAAAAGATGACAATATTTAAAATTGTAGTATATCACAATACCACTCGTTGAACCTTTATCCCCGGTACTGATTAGATTTCAGAACAAATGTTTTTTGCCTCACCCAAGGTCTGCTTCAGGTTAATATTTATTCTATCCAAAGTGATCCTAATTATCATATGTCCATAAAATTTTCAGACAGTTGTATCTACTCTCCAACACCAATATTCAGACAATGTTCCAATCCAAAGTGAGGTCCTCTAGCTCAACAAGATGTGCCTGCAAAACTGTTCATTTCCCATTAAAGCAAAAATGTTCAATGTAAGTAGAATTTATTGCTGAAAGAAATTATACAGGCTGTTTAAAACAAAAAGAAAAACTATCAGATTCTTTTTATAATGCCAGAGAGGTAAAATAACAAATCTATACAGAATCGGCATTTTTTACTTTTGTTCTCTAACTTGAATGGTCTGTAACTCAGTTTTTCCTGCCCCTTGGAGCTTCGAGTTAGAGAAGTTTTACTGTATTTGGCCTAAATTTGTAACCAATCTGATGCTAGTTATCGTCAGATATGAACAGGTGTAGATTAAGTGTAAACTAGTCGATTTTACAGCACATTAATTGGACGTGACATTTAACTAAATTTGTATGATCATTGTATATTTGACCATTCACTGTGCAGTTATTGATTCAACATCACTATATCATACCTTTCAACAAAGTAGGTGGAGATTCTTGGATCCAATATGTTGGATTTTTCATGCAATAATCATGAGATACTCATGTTCAGTGAAATATTAATGCCATTTATTTCAACTAAGCTACAATTTTGAGACAAAAAAAGTTTGACTGATTATCATACATATAAGATCATCATAATTACTTAATTAAATTATTGAAACTATAAAATATACATATAAATATATAAAATATCTTTAGCAATAAATATATTGCTTATTAATTCTTTGCCAATATAAAACACTTTCAAGACATGCTAACACAAAACTACACACCATAACTGCAGATATTCATCATTTTGTCAACAAACTCTTTTGAGCTATAGTTTTTAGACCAATAGAAGAAAGTTTATTGGTTCTTTAGAACTAGGTGAAGAGTAATATCATAAGCTGCAACATCATGAGATCGTCAAAGGAAAGGATCTACTAGGACTTATTATACTGGTGTCCAAGTCCTGCAAAATGAGGAAACGTATCCAGAGAAAGAAGGAAAAAAAAATGTGCGCTGTTATAAAAGCCTAATGTTTCCATGTTTGGTGTATTATATGCAGTATTATGCTTGTGTAAGAACATTCAGAGTACAGACATTCATTCTCATATGTTTTACTACATGAACAAATTGAATACTTACTAAAATTTTTCTCAGTATATATTTTGTTTACAGGTATTGTGTGTGTGTGTGTGTGTGTGTGTTTGGAATAGCTATTGTTATTATTTAATAAACAACACAAATGAAGCAATATGATAAAAAAAGATTATTTTTTAACATTCCATAGGCATTTGTATGTTCCATGTATGAAATTTAGGAGGTTCCCTTTCAGTATTTTATTTTTCATTTCAATTGCTTTACAATTACATATTTGAATATTTGAATTACATATAGAAAACCAATATTATGTTTGAATTGGTACCTTCTAAACTGCATACCTGTAAGCGTCACACATTCAACAGCCGATCCAGAGATATGGAATATATGGGTAGTTAGATCACACAAAAGTTTTGTTTCTATTCTAGCAATTTTTTGCAGATTATATACCATGGATTATCTACATGAAATTATGGTACCTAAGTATCACAAAAAGATATAAGTATAATTATTATTGAATAATTTAAAAAAAAAATCAGCATATTATAAATATTTGTTAATTTTAAAGCTGGAACCATCTTCCAAATACTAAAATTCACAGCTTCCTCCCGTTTTCCAGCATTCATTGATTAAAAACAAATGTTTTCGGCTACCTTCAGTGGCCTGCATCAGGTTAAAGCCTTCATACCTCAAAAGTGGTTGAATTTTAAAAGATTAAGATTTTCACTCCAAGAGAAAATATTTTTATTTTACAAATTTAATAAAACTATTTCTCAGTATGTTTGTCATTTTAAAAAATCATTACAAATAAACTTACACCTTTGTACAACCAGCAACAAATTTAATAAAAATTAAGAATATTTTCAACCAGATTCACTGATCTTCCTCAGTTACAATGTTCTGTAACTTCAAGTCAAAAACATTCATAATTTTTATTAAATTTGTTGCCGGATGTACAAAGGTGCAAGTTTTTTGAACTATTTACCTCCAGTTATTTTTGAATTTCATGGTTATTACAAATGAATTAAATGTTTTTAATGTATACATTTTAAACTAAAAATTAGTTATAAACAAACTTTCAGATAAAAAATCTCATCCTGTATCATCAGAAATTTAGAATAAAAACAATTTTGTAATAATCATCATGAAATGTAATTAAAACTTTAAAAATTGTGAAAATATATCCATTATCTAGAATTAAATTTAAAGAAATAAAAATGGGAAGATTTAAATATTTTACATTCTAATAAAACATAAAATTCATCTGGATACGAGTCCAAGTTTACTTGCCATGTCTAATCACCAGGAACAACTATTTCCATTGCAGAGACAACCTTTCTTTAGAGGCTATGCCTCTGCACGAATATGTAAAACAGTTTAAAATGTCCACAGGTGACAATCCCAATCCCCACAGGTATTTTACATTCGTTTTTCTCACTTTTTTTCAAATTTTTTTAAAGATAATAATCTCTTAAAATGAAGTCTTAATTTGATAAATTACTTCTATCTATTAAAAAAAATCCTTTCAACAGTTATTTCCTTACAGGGACCTGCTGGAGCTGAAGTTTGTCTTTCCTGTCAATAAACTTCAATCAGAACTGCATTAGTAACATTTACACATTAGTAAAATGTAAAAGATGACAATATTTAAAATTGTAGTATATCACAATACCACTCGTTGAACCTTTATCCCCGGTACTGATTAGATTTCAGAACAAATGTTTGCCTCACCCAAGGTCTGCTTCAGGTTAATATTTATTCTATCCAAAGTGATCCTAATTATCATATGTCCATAAAATTTTCAGACAGTTGTATCTACTCTCCAACACCAATATTCAGACAATGTTCCAATCCAAAGTGAGGTCCTCTAGCTCAACAAGATGTGCCTGCAAAACTGTTCATTTTTCCCATTAAAGCAAAAATGTTCAATGTAAGTAGAATTTATTGCTGAAAGAAATTATACAGGCTGTTTAAAACAAAAAGAAAAACTATCAGATTCTTTTTATAATGCCAGAGAGGTAAAATAACAAATCTATACAGAATCGGCATTTTTTACTTTTGTTCTCTAACTTGAATGGTCTGTAACTCAGTTTTTCCTGCCCCTTGGAGCTTCGAGTTAGAGAAGTTTTACTGTATTTGGCCTAAATTTGTAACCAATCTGATGCTAGTTATCGTCAGATATGAACAGGTGTAGATTAAGTGTAAACTAGTCGATTTTACAGCACATTAATTGGACGTGACATTTAACTAAATTTGTATGATCATTGTATATTTGACCATTCACTGTGCAGTTATTGATTCAACATCACTATATCATACCTTTCAACAAAGTAGGTGGAGATTCTTGGATCCAATATGTTGGATTTTTCATGCAACAATCATGAGATACTCATGTGCAGTGAAATATTAATGCCACTTATTTCAACTAAGCTACAATTTTGAGACAAAAAAAGTTTGACTGATTATCATACATATAAGATCATCATAATTACTTAATTAAATTATTGAAACTATAAAATATACATATAAATATATAAAATATCTTTAGCAATAAATATATTGCTTATTAATTCTTTGCCAATATAAAACACTTTCAAGACATGCTAACACAAAACTACACACCATAACTGCAGATATTCATCATTTTGTCAACAAACTCTTTTGAGCTATAGTTTTTAGACCAATAGAAGAAAGTTTATTGGTTCTTTAGAACTAGGTGAAGAGTAATATCATAAGCTGCAACATCATGAGATAGTCAAAGGAAAGTAGTCAGGTGACTACAGAATCGTGTCAGTGACAGTATGACTAGTTCGAACTGGGTTTAAGAGGAATGAATTCTGTCCACATTCGAAGATAGCTCATTAACCAGGTCAAAAACGTTAGTATTTCAACACCCTATCAATTCTTAAAAATGTATTGTTACTTCTTTAAATTAACCACATCGACTAATTTGACTTTTAAAAAGTCAAAATAGTATAAAATTAAAAAAATATTAACAAAATAAATGAGAAACGAATGCAGAAATATATTACTGGTATTTAAAAATTAATTTCCATACCTGCCCAAGTTGACTGCACCCATTTCATATTTGGAATATAATCTAATATCTTTGAGATGACGGCAGCATCAGTAATTAGGATTTCAGCATCTTTCAATATTTCAATTTCTTCTGGAAGGATTTCTGTGCATTTTTTACATTCCTCTAAATAATATTATGATAATATAATATTAATATAGGCTACCTTTATAAATGAATTTAAAAAAAATTAAATTAAATATATGAAACTTCTTATATAAATTATAAAATTTAAAGTATATACATATACTGTACATATCAGTAGACGATAGTAATGTATAATTATACAGTAATTATTACAACATTTTAACTATATTTCTTGTATTTTTATACAAAATGTTAAAAATAAATCTAATAAAATATTTACCAGCTAATCTTATCTGTTTAAAATTAAGCTCAGGTAAAGACGATCGCAAGCACGGTAACAGGTTATGAACTTCGGACCAAACGTAAACGGTTCTCTGTAAGTTAGACATGACTTTTCTGAACAGCATCTCATCTCACCTCACATTTAAATACCCTACTACAAAGCACGTGGTTTGAAAGTCAACGCAAGGTAAACCCGAGAGATGGCGTTATTTTGGTCAAAGTTACTCTGATGCAATTAATTTAAAGCGTCGACTGTTGAAAAAATAAAAATAATTCTGTCATAACTCTACTGTAAATTTTCCTTACTCACACTCGAAACTTATTATCTTCGGCAGGATCAGCACGTGTTTCTTGATACTCTACGGCCACCTACTCGATAATATCATAGACATCATATTCATAATTCTGTATCAGAAATCTATTTATTTACAAAAATGTGTTTGATAATTCAATTGAACCATCATTTTGTAATATAAATGTTCAATATATTTTTTTAAAAACATTATAAATAAATTGTTTAATCGACGTTAAATTTATATTAGAGTTTTGTTTTTACTCTTCTTTTTACTCCCAGACATTAGTGAAGCGGGACAAAATTGGCGGGGGCGAGTGGTTGTCTTGTTAAAAAAAATTGTTATCAAAGAACGCAAAAATTGTATTGTGTTATACATTTTTTAAATTTCAATACATGTAAACTTTACAAATATATACTATTATAAATATTTAAAAACTCTATTCTTTCGCATATTTCTCAGTTGAGTGAATTTCTTTTTTTAGTAGATTGATTACTGTCGTTATTTACAATGTCATGAAATTTTTCGCAAGAATTTGTTAAATTATATTTCACACATAATATGGCTTTTTAAAGTCTCAACACTTAATTATAATTTGTCAGATGTCCACACTTTATTTACGGTAGGAAAAACGCGTTCAGTCGCGGCATTAGTTCCTGGTAAGGACAGCGCGTATCCCACAATTTTTAATGTATTATTGTATGGAACATAGTTCAAAATGACGAAATATTTCTAACCATTTGTTCTCTGTTGAGATTTTTGCTGATGCCCAAAATTTAACCTTTTCCTTATCAGTGTGTTTTTTTAAATAATGATACCTCATTAAAAATATTACAATCTGGAAACTGTTGACTAATGAGATCGAGTGATTTTTGCACATCTTCCCAATTAAGTTCTTGTTTTAACATAATGTTCAATGTGTAATTGTGGAATGTTCAATATCATTGTAATGTTCAAGATCATTGTAATGTACCGTCCACTCTTCCAAATAATCTAAGCAGTTACTATAGAACATTTTGATGTGATTCATGAAATCTGCTCGATTGCACCTTGTTCTACCAACTGACTTATACTATTACGGATGGTTTTTTTTTTTTAAACTCTTTCCACCCTATAGGCATTAAGAGGGCCTCTTTTCGCAAGCCCATTATGGGTTGGCCAGACCCACAATGGGGCTGCCGGGTAGTGAGGGACGGGGCCCGACATATCCGAACAGACCACCCCACAAAAAATTCCTGGGGATTTTCCGACCCGTTCGGATTCGAGCCCGGGTCCCCCAGAGCGGTGGGCTGCCACCTTAACTGCTTGGCCATCCAGTCGTCGAATCGGTCGAGCATAGTAATCGCGTCTAATCTCGTCTTGAAAGCTCTCGCAAAACATTTATTTTTATTAATTTATATATATTTATATATATAATAATTTTATTAATATTTATTATCAATAATTCTAAATACAATACGTAGTTGTTGTCGTAAAACGCTGAATGTCCATTGCCCATTATCCCAGTGTCCGTTGTCGAGTCGGTAGATTAACTGGTCTTTCCACTAATAGTTCAAACTTAGCTAGAGACAATATTTGCCGCTAGTTGGCGCCACTGTTAGCAGAAGAGCGTTGTTCTTGCTATGTGTATACTGAGGTCAGTGATTTCGACTTATAATAATTGTGTTTTTTTAGCTACATAAAATTGCTAACGTGCTTTGTGCCAGGATGCAAGGCAGGATATAAGTCATCGAACGAGAAGAGACATTTTTTCCGTGTTCCTAGCGATAAGATTGAGGAGTGGATCGATACATTCCACGAGACGACAAGATGCTACAAGTAAATGTTACGTTTGTGACGTACATTTTACGAGTAGATTTATTTTAAAAACCTACTCCCATGTTATAAATGGAGAGAAAGTAGAAATTCCACGAGATCGCTGGACATTAATTTAACGTCAGATGCATATCCATCAAACTTCCCTAATTGTCCTAAGTACAGTATATTAGTAAGTCTGTACCTCAAAAACGATCAACGCGATGTCTCACAAGGAATGAAGAACCATCTAGAAAGAGATCCCGAAAAGACAATACCAGGGGTAAATATTTGTGTTTTTTATGTAATCTTAATCCTCAGTGAGCCATGTAACTTCTTGCCCTTGCTGAGTCTCAGTGGTCTCTCGGACCCTGTGTTTTAATATAAAATTATTAAATTTTATCTATCGCGTAAAAACTACAATTTCACCGTTAAATTCTGCGCTTTGTTTTCTTTCTTTCTTTCTTGCTGTATTGATGACAAAATTGCGTTTTTAATGTTTATTTTTATATAATTTGATAGCTACGCGACAATCGTGACGCGTAGCTATCATTCTTTTATTTATATTATTCCATAACGTTTAGGGTCTAATTAGCTAACTTCTAGTTGTTTGATTCTGTTTGAACGAGTAAGCATTTTCTCAGAATTATCTGGTGGAAAATATCAATTTTCCATCAGACAATTCTGGTGGACAATTCTACAATAAGAAAATCGCTCCCTCTACGTAAATCAAGGTAAAACTGTAAACAAATGTTAGATAATCGCTATTTTCGTCGTTTTTCAGCTCCAATTTAGCTCTAATTTACATATGTATTGACGTTATTTAAACGAATAAGTGTTTTGATAGAAACATTTCGAGGTAAAATTGTCCGCAAAACTAAAATACTTTTGGTTTAATTATTTTCCGCTATTACGCAATATCTAGAAGTACAGTCGACCCCCTATAACACTGTTGATAATTCCGTTTTATATGAATTCCATGTTGTACGAGTCACTTAGATTTTACAAATACGTGAGCCGTTCAAAGCCTGGCACACGTATTTGTAAAATCTAAGTGACTCGTACAACATGGAATTCATATAAAACGGAATTATCAACAGTGTTATAGGGGGGTCGACTTGTAATGAGTTTCCCCGGTAAATTTTTCGACTGGAAGCTTTTGATATGACAACTAGTCCAAGTAAAGTCAAATAAAAGAAACGTTCTAACCGCATGTTGATCGGACTGAAAAGTTGGAAGAATATAAATTTTTTCAGTATTTTTATATTTAAAAAAATGTTAACTAAATATTGAGCTGGGTTTGTGAGACCCACTGTGATTCACTGAGGGCTATCTCTCTGTGGCCCACCTTTCCTTGTAAATACTTTAAGATGAATCTTCTGATATTTTTTTTATCAATCAAAACTGACTTAGTGTAATGATTATATAATCTTGTATTAAACTCTTAACTTATGTTTTCTTTTCAATTAGCGTTTCTTTGGAATGATAAGACAAGGAAGTAGAAGCAATTCTCATCCCACAACAATGCAGTTCTTATACCTGTACAGACTGATGACTGTGTGCAATTTGGTTCGTCCTCCCAAACGAGCATCAGTTCAAACTGATCCTGGATCTTCCCTTATTACTTTAAAAAATCTTCTTCATAGTCATAAAAAACCATTTAAGGAAATTCGAGAACAATTGGAAGAACATTTAGAAAATTTGCTTTCTAATCCAAGCCTGTCCTATGGAGATACTAATGATAGTGAATTATTAGATCATGATTATTGTGCACCAGAAACATTTAAGTTTATTCTACATTATTTAGGAGGTTACATTGTTTATCATCTACTGCCATCACTCGGTTGTGATGAATGCAAAAATATATTAAGCTTATATAGTGGTGCCTCGTATAACGTACGCCTCGAATAACGGACGCTGCGAACAACGGACTTTCCGTTCGACAGTTACGTGAGGTGAACAACGGTCTTTCTGCGAACAATTGCTAATGATGTTTCCACTATTTTGCCGTTGCCAATGACAATCTGTTATTTTTATAATATATTAGTATTATTAGAATATATTATTAGTATATCTGAAGTACAGAGCTCCCGTTGGGATTCGGCTTGCTCCCTTGTTTATTACGTACTGTACATCACCTCAGTGCAGGGTATTTACAATTATTCAAGTGTTGTGCAAATCATGGCTTCTAAAAAACCAAAAAGATGATTTCAATTGAAACAAAGTAAGACATCATCAGAAAAAGTGAAAGTTGACAAAAACTTCCTTGTCAAATGGGGAGAGGTTCAGGAGTTTACCAACACTTATTATCCAAACAGAGCTGAGGCCAACAGGATCAATGACCTCTGCAATGACACCCTTGCCCGTCATTTCTGACAGGTGTTGAAGAAGAGAGAGAAACAGACCACCTTGGACATGTTTTTCAAGAAGCAAGCTGCCAAAAAACAAAGGATGGAACAAGAGGAGTTGACCCTGCAAGCTCCCGTAGCCTCTCCTGAATCTGACTCCGATTAAAAAACAATAAAAAAAGACCCGCTGCAATGTGTAAAAAGTCTGTATCTGTACGAATGTGTAAAGAAAGAGTTCCTCCACTTCCTCCTCACAACATTGACTACCCGGCATAATTGGTGACTGCTCCATTTTCATTTTTTTATGGTACAGTACGGTTATTTTATGCTGCGGAACGAATTATATGTTTTAACATGTATTTCTATAGGAAAATGCGTTTCGTATAACGGACGTTTCACTTAACGGACGTGCATCTGGAACGGATTAAGCACGTTTTGCGAGGCACCACTGTATTTTAATTTTTTAAAAATTGAACATTTGTACAAGCTCTTGAGAGAATGATTACTTGATTCAAGGAAAGTGGACAGCTGGGAGTTCGACCCGATCGAAGTTGCAAACCAATTACTTCCTTGCATCTCCTACAGATTCGCCCATTGGACTGGATCAGTTTCAATTTTTAGTATTCATTGAAATGAAAATGGAATTAAATAAGCGAACATAAAATACAAATAATTAAATAATTTTTATTTTATATTTTATTTGTTATTAAAATTGAAGAAACTTCAATTTCAATAAGAAATAGATACGGATACGGATATGTCGGGCCCGTACCTCACCACCCGGCCATTGTGGGTCTGGCCGAACCCATAATGGGCTCGCTGAAAGAGGCCCTCTTAGTCCCCACAGGGCGAAGAGAATTTAAAAAAAAAAAAAAAGTATGTGGGTAGGTGCGCTTTTGTTCGCCCCTTTTGAAGCTTAATAATTCCTGTTGTTTTTGTAGATGATTTTTGAAATTTTGCAGAGGTTTGTGTATTGGAGGGATTGATGCTATTAAATTTTGTTGGTTAAAGATCGACGGGGTGGAGAGATAAAGGGGGTCAAGTGTCGTATCTCCAGTAGGGTCGGACGTAATGGTGACTTGATTATACATGTTCGGGTTAGCTGCCGAAATATTACCATCTAATTTCTTCTTAACTATCTAAGTAAGATTAACATCATATTCAATACTTCAGTAATTGATGTAGAATAATTAAAAAAAAANTAAAAAAATTATATTTCAAATAAATATCACTTAAATATATTTTAAAATACCTGAATGTTTCTCAATTGTTCTAGTTTTTCCCGTTCGTAAATATGGCTCTCGTATATTAGTTTTATCTTCGCGAACTTGAATGTAAGCCTTATCTATTTGAAAGTAATGGAAATTATCAACATTTATTATCCATTGTTTATCATAAAAATAAATTTCCATACTTTAACTCGCTTCATTATCTTTTTAAGTTTGGGCCAATTCAAAATTGTTTTCGATCTTGTCAATTTTCTTAAACCCAAATTTTGTTTCAGATATATTACCCATCGATTCGGTCTCTTAAAACATAAAATAATTGTAAATTTCATTATACGTACTCTATTATAAAGAATACAGTAAATATCAAATGTATTGCATTCATTGGCGATTTGGGTAGAAGCAATCTAAATCCTCAAGATATAGGGCCAAAAACTTTCATACGGTCTTGGTCCAGTTAGTACAATATTATATGTCATGAAATGTTATACTGTACTAACTGGGATTCTATTGCTTGTACAGCAGCGTACGGTGACAATTTTCAAAAGAGACCAGATATGAGAAAACTTATTTTTCATGCATTCTAAAATTATTTAAACACCAGGAAAAAAAATCATTTTATTTACTTGTTATCGGCACATTAATGTTACTTTTCCCAGCTCCGTTATAAATGAGCCCTGAGAGTTGTTCAGGTTGGTTCGTGGAAGAGTTGAATTCAGCGTAAAGAGGGGAGAACGGATGGGAAAAATACACGAAAAAATACATACTTTTCATGTAAAATGTTTCAAATACAGCTGCATTAAAAGTGATATTTAGACGGTAGTTTACTTCAAGGAATTTAGAGGACTAGCCTAGTCCCCCCTAGTCCATTTTTGGCATGCCACTGGGCTTGTACAATATTAAATATTGTGTGATACCGGCTTTAACTTATATAAATGCATATATGGGATCTCTTATGTTCAGGTTTGTCCAAAACCCAGGTCTTGGACAAATGTGGACATAAGAGGCCCTCTATATACTTTGAAGGTATTACATACCTCGGAAACTGCTTTATATGTTAAACTTGAACTTTGCTTTCGTTTCTCTGTCATTATCTGCAATTTATTTAAATATTTTACTAAAAAATAAAGAATAGGCCTAATCAGTTTTTTCTTAGCTTCATCCTTACTCTGATAGCGCTATAAGTGTGATTTATTCTTCGTGATTCGAACTGTTTCTTTTGATACAGTTCGAAAAGTACGCTCTTCATTTACAATCATATTTAAGATTTAATAATGAAAAAATCATTTAAAGAAAAATCAAGATAAAATACATTCTCTTACTTTGTATGAACTTATTTCTATTTCTTTTCTTATTAAAAATCCTCGTAAACAAGCTTGAAAATGTATAAACATCAAATTAAAATCTATTTCTTCTGATGATTCTCGTGAATTTATATAAGAACTATTTAGTAATTTGTGGTTCTTTATGATGCTAAGATTGTCACCAGCGATATTAAATTTGTCGCATTTTTTCGATTTATCAAAGTTGTTACTTCTATTTAAAAGTTTAGACGACCAAGTAAAAATATTCGGATGAGAACGTAAATTCTATTGATAGTTTTAAAATATTTAATTTTTACGTAAAAATTTGAATTATCTTTTAAGAATTTTAGTAAATATTTATAAAGAATCTACTTTTCTCATTTTTGAATTCAAATTTTTTCCGTTATGCTCCGCTCCTTCCACTATTTTTGAATTGCTGTAGCTGTATTAAAATCTAACAAAAGATAGTAATTTTTAACAATTTTTGTAACTTACTGTTCTGCACAACGTGGCATTTGGGTTTGGTACAGAAATTTCTGAGATTGCAAGTGTGTATTCGATCCCGGATTCCTAGAGCGTAGGTCGAAATCTTAATCGCCTGGATCATCCGGTCTCCGAAAGATAATGACTAAATATTGCTAAGTCTAAAAATTTTTAATTTTTTAATTTGATAAAATTTTACCCATTGATTTCGTTCATTTTCGAATTTGTGTCTCACTATATAACCCTTCGACAAATTTCAAAACTGTAAAGTAAACGATATCTCTTCTTCTTCATTTGAAATGCTGGAAGCTGAATGTATATTTTCTTCCAAGAAGCTCGAATTTTCGCTTCAGTCTAAACATTTAAAAACAATTATAATCGTAAATATGAGTTATTCTAAATTAATAATAATCATTTTTTTTTAATGTGAAATATCCATTATTTTATGCGGTGCCGTAACTAGGTAGGTGCAAAGGGTACAGAAACACAGGATCCAGGACAAAAGGGTTTTGCGGAAATCAAACCGATTTCATAATTTTTTTTGTTGTTGTTAAAATGAAAGATAACCAATTATTTCTATTGTGCTTGCTTAAAAAAATTTTTTTGAATCAAAAACAGGATACAAAAATAAAATTTTGCACATGGCACATGAAAATCTAGTTACGCACAGATTTATGACTATCAAATGACTAAACTATGGATTTATTAAACTTTTTAGTACAAGTTTAAACTCAAAATCGTGAAAATTGTAAATTATACATTGTATACATACACAAACAAATACAAGAACACAACTTAAAGCACTTAGATCTAAAAGGTTCATCGTACACTTCATAACAGATTAAAAGTTTGGTCTCTTTAAAAAATGACAAAATTCTTATAGAAAAATGACACATCACCTGTGTTCAATGAGGACGAGAACAAATGAACAAATCTGACACAACAGAGAGCTACACACCTATAAATGAGACACAGAGTTACAAAAACGACAAGAATCCGGGGAAAAATGTCAATCGTCACAAATGTTTAAAACAGTAACTAAAACCAGTAATCAAAAAGCGAACATAATTGCAAGAAAGCTACCAAAATTGACTAATTTAATTTATCCTCTTGAACACAATTTAATTACAACACAGCACACTTAAATATCTCATTTTACAATAGAAAATTATGATAAAATTCTAGTCATATGCTAACTTACCATAATTGCCAGTCTTTTATTTTTTATAGAAAGATAATTTCTTACTGCATGTTGTATAACTTTAATTTGCTTAAAATAAAATTTCCCGTAGAATATAATTTTTTTCCAATTTCTTATTCTCGTAACTGCATTTTTCTTCAAAACAATGGAATTTTAAAGTTTTTATATACTAATATACTTAATCAGCAGTTTAAAATTAAATGTGCCTTACCTTTTTTTTCAACTCTTCGTACGAATGCTTTTGATTTTTCTCTGAAAATCGATCGCAACTTTCCTCTGCAGTAATCTTGTGCTATCGCGACATATCATTCTAAACCAACGTTGTAATTTATTAGTCGTTGGATTCTTATGAAACAAAATTATGTAAATTAATTAAAAATAAGTGAAATATTAAATTATTTAACACATTACCATAAAGATAATGATTGCTTTTAAATTCATTTGATCTGATCTGATCAGATAGCCTCTAGATGATAAACTTTGCAACCTCTGTACTAGGAAATAGAGTTTCTGGTATATTTTTTTATGGTTTTTCTTTGTATGATCATTCTCCACCAGCTCTGTATAATAACAGCTGAATGTTGCTAACCAGCAAGAAATAATAGAATAAAAAAAGAATTTAAACTTAAATTTCTATATTTTAAAAAACCACGAACTCGTAAGTAAAGAGAATAATTTTGCTTCGAACGATACAACCTCTAATAGCTGCTTGGAAACTAATCAGAACAGGCCAATTTTTGTTGTACTTACGATTTAGTAAGAACAGTTTTATCAATTTTTGCAGCTTAATTACGGCAGCATTCTGTATAAAACGATTTAATTATTTATTAGTCCATTTACTACAAAGTGCATAAAGTGTGCAAACAATAGGAAATTCTTTATCGTTACAGGTTGAGTAATGGTGCTGTGTAAGACTGGGTAGAGATAATTCTCCTTGTCTGTCGAAGATCCTCATTGGTTTACGACAGCGAAGAACAAGAAGCTGACAGAATGATGGTATGGTGCAGCTAATGGAACATGCATGTCATTGTGCCCTTCTTCCTTAAAACATCTGTTATTGGGAATAATTATCATGTTGGGAGATGAAATAATACCGGACCTCGAAGTAATGAAGTAATGTGTGATTTTGCTTATTTTTTTTCTATTGGTTTCAAACTTTACGCACACCCTGTATAAATTTTTATTATTTACAATAAATTTTACTTTGTTTTTATATTGCAGAAGTAATGATTTTTTATTATTCTTTCTGATATATTTTAAAATAATGACACAGTTTTTCATTTGTAAATATTTTCCCTTTTCAATCATCATTTTAACCCTTAATATAACAATATTATAAAATATTATTATATTGATAGAACTTAGCAGTTTAAACTCTGATCTTACCTTCTTTATAATAAACTAG